GTCTGAGTTGGGGGGGGGGGGCTCTGCATGAGTGTTTGTATGTTAAAGTGCCTCAGGCAAATCAGGACTGAGGTCAGAGCCTGTGACCTGCCTCCTCATCATTCATACCTGGGGCAGGGAGTGCACACACTCCCACTCATCGCTGTCATTCCTATGCATTATTCAGACCTTTTGCAAATTCCCATGAAACTGTTGGTATTCCTTGCACTGTAGTATCAATATATTGATATGTACGTCTGCCCGTTCCCAGATGGGACCCAGAACACTGGCGCTGCAGCGGTGGGCGGCGGACAAGCCGTCCTTCACAGCAGAACTCCATCGTATCATCACGTATATCACCAAGCCACAGGTAGGATACACAGAACATCACCCACAGCAGTGCAGTCAAATAAAACATCTTACCTCCAAAGAGTTGTCATTCACTTAACTGAAAAAAAATAACTCATCAGTACTCAGTGTTTGAAAAGGTGTGAAAATGTGTGTGAAATGTCTGAATCCCCTAATATCATAAACATTACCTGATACAATTTGGACATTTCTAATTTGTGTTTACTGTAAATGGCACATTGAACAGTGTGAAACGGATACAATCTGTTTTGTACTGAACTTTACAGACTGCGGAACAATAATACAGAGAAATGACAGGATGAACAGTTATAAACCCTCAGATACAATACAATGTAAAGTTATATAAAGGAGTTAGGTAAACTATATAACACAAATACAGTTACACATATAGTCTAATGCAGTGGTGCCCAATCTTTGTGGCTTGTGTCCTTTAATAAAAGTGATGTCTGTTTGACTGTTTTAACAGGTTGCAACTGAGGGATTTAATAAAATTGCCCTTTTCAGATTGAATAATTTTTATATGCTGGAAAACATAATAACTATCTTCTTCTTTTCTGTCTTTGTGATTATCTTGAGACGCTCTGAGGGGGTCCCCACCCTCTCTAATATTTTGGGCCCTCCCTGAAGATCTCAAGCTACACTCCGGCCCATAAGGGACCTAAAGATACTGTAGCCAGGAGTTAGATTTTGCCAAGCCTGAAGAGTAATCAATAAAAACTTAACTTTTTCAACTACTTCACTTTCTACAATTGCAGACTTCCAGTGTCAGAATCCAGAGCTGTCAGTATCCTGGCAGCAAAGTTCTGCTGGAGCTAGTGAGGACTTTGAGTTCCAGACTGGAAACTCCCATACAAGAGTTAAGACTTGTGTAGCACCAAGTGCTGGGGAAATGGGAGGAAAATTGTTTTTAAGTATATTATGAAGTGTTAATTTTGTTCTGTAATTATTTAATACCTCAAGTTAAGTGATTATCATCAACAGAATATCACATTTAAGAGCCAGTGTTACCGGAAGATAATTTGTTTTACTTAAAAGTCTACATCAGTCACTGTCTGAAATTTTCTCACACATTTCACAAGACAAGCTTTCACACTACTTCTTCTTTAACTTCCTCTCTTCTTAGCTAAAGCTAATTCTGTATTAGACTGTTCTCAGACATCTACCCAACACATCTCATGTGACCTCTCCTCTCCTGTCCATCCCCAGCTAAACTGCTCCAGGGTTTTGTCTCCAGGTCAAGCTCAGGCCACACAGCCCCCTGCAGATTCACCCCACTGGCTGCTGTGTGCTGAGGACTGGCTCCTTCCACTTGAAGATCGACCGTGTGTTGCATACTCCTTTAGGTGTGCCCACATGTCTGTATACTACGTGCATGTGTCTGTGCATGTGTCTGTGATGCTTATGCATTCATATCACTGGAACAGTTGGAATAAACAATGCAATGCATATTTAATCATGCATGCAATAATCTTCAAACCACCTCTGTGCTCCCCTGCCTCTCTGTCTATCTGTCTGTGTTTGCCTTTGTCTCTCTAGTATGGATGGGGGAGATGCAGAGTTTCTAAAGACTGTGTCACTGCTGGGATGCGAAGTCCACAGTTTTGATCCCAGCAACTCCAATGCATCTGGTGGTCACCTTGGCAACAGTTTGGCTAGTAACCATGGTGATGGAGGTGTGGTCAGCCAGCACAAGATGTGGCTGGAGTGGCGAGCTCCAAGGAAGCGCAAGAACAAGACGAGAGGCAACCTGGGTGGTGTTTCTCAAACACTGGCAGACGTCATGGCAGCTCTGGGACATCACACAGTAAGACACACACACACACATACACACACACAAGCACACACTCACACACATACACTGCAATTTGGAGAAACAGTGCCAAACAAACATACCTTAGAGTCTTTTCGACCCAACATACCCAGAAAGCTCCCTTACTTGTACGTTCCCATAGCAACAGGGCTCTGCGCCATCCCTGGCTGCCATGGCAACAATTTAAGTGAGTGAATCACACACTGGCCCAGTTACATCCTGCAGCCACAAGAGGGAACTACGTACCTACAGTTTGAGTATGTATAGGTTTACATTATAAGAAGGGGTCTAAGAGATCCTTTTATAAATGTTCAATAATAATGATTGGCTATATTGATTAAGTGATTACAAAGCAACACATTTGCTATGGAAAACAGTAAGGCTGCACAACATGAACAAATCATATTAAGTACTTCAAATAGTACGTTCTCTGATTAGGAGATTTTAAAGCTACTTTGTTAAACACTTTGTCCTTTGTGCAATCCTTTATTCTCTTTAGGTCCACTTCCTGTATGCTGACCTGCTCAGTGCTGAGTGGCGAGTTTTCCAGAACTGGATTGAGTCGGGAACTCTGCAGAGTGTCCATCACCTGGTTGCCACAGTGCACCTACAATGGGCAGGGTTTGAGGTGGGCGGAACCAATGAAGAAGTGCTCCGCTATTGGTTCAGTGTCCTACAGGGTCTCCAGGCCTCTGGACTCAAGCTAGTCCACAGCTCTGCAGGAGAGGGTCACAGTGTCCTAAAACAGACAGTGGCAAATGCTCACAGCTCCTACACACTCAGCTGGGTCAACACAAGACACTGAACACACACACACACATATAAATGGACACAGGTGTACACACATGACCAGGCATTGTGGATGGCCTCAAACAAGAAGGAGAAGGTCAACCTTTAAATAGTTGGTCAGTCACACTTCTCTTACAATGGACTTTTTCTCCCCTGCAGTTTCAGGGACACAGTTTTTAACATGATGTCTCCCTCTAGTGGAGATGAAACGATCTGCCTTTTTATGACTCCACCCTCAGAGGGAAATACAGCTGTGTCTGTACTGATACTGGCTAATTTGACCAAATATGGAACAGAAGGGGGGTTTGCTGATTGAACTGGACAACAGCACTGTAATATCATAATTAGATCAACAGATTTTATTACTCAGAGCATAAAAAACAGCAGATATATGTCAGCTGTAGCCACTGCTGGATTGTGTCCTAATGAGTCCTAAATACTAAACAGCTGTCTGGCAGGTACCAACACATTTTTATTTATTTTCCTTCTTTTTTAAGTTGAACTACAGACCCAAGATTTTATCAATATTTTACCATATTATTAGATCACAGAGTGCGACCCCTTTCTTTAATCATTAATGTGATCCAGGTGTAGTTTGAACATACAGTACATTAAGCAGATTATGCAGATGCAGCAGATTATTTAATGCATTTTTGTAAATCTCTGCAGGCCTTGAAATGCTTTTGTGTGCAATAATTCTTTACAATGAAGATAAAGTTAAATAACATAGAAATTATACTGATGCATTTTTTCACTCTAATGTGTACTGTATAACAAAGAAGAAAACAATTGAAACATGTTATAAATGTGCATTATTACCATAATAAAATACAAACTAGAAATCCTTGACTGCTGTATGTCTGTATTTCTGTTCTTGTTCTATTTGGTTATAAACATTAACATTGACCTTTGTGGCATTGCACACATTGCTCTACACTTTCTTTGATATTTAAATAATCCAAAAAGACCGATGATGACTGTAGATGAGATGATTAATTGTCCCTTTTCCTCTGTACCCACATACAAACCAAGCCAGATCATCCTTTAATATAGTAGGCTAGTATACAGTCAAAACTCACTGCTTCATATAGAAGTTTATTCACTTTAATACTTCAAAATATTGTACATTTTTGCAGTCGTGTGTAAATGCTTTTCTTAAATGTGAAACTGTATCATGTCTGTGCGTCTGTCTATGCTTAAATTGT